TCCAGCCTCACCCCACATCCCTGAGCCCCATGGAGCTCGCAGAATGGGGTGCAGCCCTCCCAACCTGCCTGCACCCCAAATCTCCTCGGGGAGTCGGGGGCTGCTGCTCCCTGTTCCTGCAGAGACCGGGGACACACAGGGGGGTCACGGAGCAAACCCAGAGGGGTAAAAACACGGGATGGGCGAGGCAGGGCGGGGTGGTGGGAGGCCGGGAGGAGCCGGGAAGGTGCTGGGGTGAGGAGGAGGAGGGCGTGGTGCTTCATCCCCTGCCTGCCCAGGTTTCATCTTCGTGGGGGACGTCATCCACCGCATGCTCACGGCCACTCAGTACATCGCCCCCCTGATGGCCAACTTCAACCCCAGCTACTCCCGAAACTCCACCGTGCAGTACCTGGACAATGGTGAGAGCCCAGCTCCAGACACCCCCTCTGCTCCTTCCTCAGCCCCCCGGGGCTCCCAGAGGGGCTGGGGGTATGGGGAGGGGTCCTGGGGATGTTCAGCCCCTGATCAGGAGTTTGGGGATGTTCATCCCTCATCAAGAGTTTTGGGACGTTCATCCCCCAGTCAGGGATTTGGGGATGTTCATTCCCTAATCAGGAGTTTGGGGATGTTCATCCCCCCATCAAGAGTTTTGGGATGTTCATATCCTAATCAGGGATTTGGGGATGTTGATCCCCCAGTCGGGAGTCTGGGGATGTTCATCCCTCAATGAGGAATTTGGGGATGTTCATGCCCAGTCGGGAATTTTGGGATGTTCATCCCCCATCAGGGCTCAGGGATGTTCATCCCTCAATCAGGGATCAGGGATGTTCATCCCTCAATCAGGAATTTGGGGATGTTCATGCCCAGTCTGGAATTTTGGGATGTTCATCCCTCAATCAGGGGTTCAGGGATGTTTTATTCTGCTCCCAGTGAGTGCTGGAGGTTTGGGGGTGAGATGGAGCCTCACGGGCAGGAGAGGGGGGGTCAGGGTGGTGAGATGAGGAGCAGGGGGAGAGGGCAGGGCTGAGCAGCTCTGGTCACCCCCAGGGACGGTGTTTGTGGTGCAGTGGGACAAGGTTTATCTGCAGGGCAAGGAGGACATCGGCAGCTTCACCTTCCAGGCTGCCCTGCACAGCAGTGGGAGAATCGTCTTCGGATACAAGGAGGTGAGAGGTGGGGCAGGAGGGTCCCTCGGGGGTCCCTGTGGGGCTGGGACATTCCTGGAGCCTCAGGGGCAGGAGGGTCCCTGTGGAATTGGGATTGGACATTCCTGAAGCCTCAGGGACTGGAGGGTCCCTTGTGGGTCTCTGTGGGGTCCCTGGGATGGGGTTGGACATTCCTGGAACCTCAGGGGCAAGAGGGTCCTTTGGGGGTCCCTGTGGGGCTGGGACATTGCTGGAGCAGGAGGGTCTCTTGGTGGGTCCCTGGGATGGGGTTGAACATGTCTGGAGGCTCAGGGACAGGAGGGTCCCTTGGGGGTCCCTTGGGGTCCCTGGGATGGGGTGGGACATTCCTGGAGCCTCAGGGGCAGGAGGATCATTTGGGGGGTCCCTGAGAATGGGGTTGGACATTCCTGGAGGCTCAGGGGCAGGGTTGGGATCTGTCCCATCTCCTGTCCCCGTGCAGATCCCGGTGCCGGTGCTGCAGATCAGCCCCAGCCAGCACCCCGTGAAGGCCGGGCTGTCAGACGCCTTCATGGTCCTCAACCCCTCTCCCGACGTGCCTGGTGAGTCCCTTTTCGGGATTTCCCTTTTCGGGATTTCCCTTTTCGGGATTTCCCTTTTCGGGAT